CTGAGCGGCGTGAGGGTGGTTCTGTCGCGAAAGAAGGAGCGAGAAGCACCTGAGTCAAGTGTGAAGGTGTACAAGGCCTCAGTAGGCGCAGTACCAGAGAGAGCAGACTCACCAGCACCTAGAGCAGGAGACGCACTAGCACCTAGAGCAGCAGCCTCACCAGTACCTAGAGCAGCAGGCTCTATACCCGGGTCAGGCGGTACGCACAGGTAACAGGCACGGTCAGCACTAGTAGGCAATGCATACATGGCAGTGAGAATAGCATCATAGTCAAGAGCAAAGATATCTGCCCTCTGCCTAAGCAGCTCCAGGCAGGTGGGGAGCTTAGCTTCGTCGCCAAACTCACTACGCCAGGCGTCGCTCAGTCGGGCGAAGCAGCGGGACTGTGTGTGACCAAGCGTCCCGCAAGCCTGACCTTCCCGATCACCTGTGCGAATGACGTACGGGCAGCGAACGGTACTCCGAGACCCCCTACTCTGAGCGTACCACTCGTGAAGCTGCTGGGACGTAAGTGTCTCGCGTGGACGCAGCTGCAGCTGCAGCTGGCCACTGCTGCTGCAGCTGGCCACTGCTGCTGCAGCTGGCCACTGCTAGACGCTCCCAACTGACCAGCTCCAGGGCGACAGCTACGACGGCTACCACCACAACCCCAACTAGCATACCACTCACGAAGCTGCTAGGGCGTGAGAGACTCGCACGGACGTTGCGAGAGCTGCATCTGGCCACCGCCAAGAGTAGCAGTATCATTAGTAGTAGTAGCAGTAGCAACAGCAGCCTAGCAGCAGTAACAGCGCGGGCAGGGCAGGTGCGGCAGGCGCGGCAGGCAGGCAGGCAGATGGTGCGGCAGCGCACTAACAAGGCAGACACATGGGAAGCGCGGGTAGAGCAGGTGCTCACCATTGGCGGGAAGGGCAGGCGCACGACGGCGGCGACGGCGAGGCCGCAACAGCGGCTGCAGAGTAGGGCCACATCAGCTGCAGGGCTGGAGCCACGACAGCGGCAGGGCAGGGCCGCGGCAGGGCGAGGCCGTGTCGGCGGCAGGGCGGGGCCAGGCGGGGCCGCGTCGGCGGCAGGGCGGGGCCGCGTTGGCGGCAGGGCGGGGTCGCGTCCTAGCGGGGCCGCGTCGGCGGGAGGGCGGGGCCGCATCGGCGGCAGGGCGAGGCCGCGTCGGCGGCAGGGCGGGGCCGCGTCCTGGCGGGGCCGCGTCGGCGTCAGGGCGGGGCCGCGTCGGTGTCAGGGCGGGGCCGCGTCGGCGTCAGGGCGGGGTCGCGTCCTGGCCGGGCCGCGTCAGCGTGAGGGCGGGGCCGCGTCCTGGCGGGGACGCATCGGGTTCAGGCCGGGGCCGCGTCCTGGCGGGGCCGCGATACGGCGGCAGGGCGGGGTCGCGTCCTGGCGGGGCCGCGTCGGCGTCAGGGCAGGGCCGCGTCCTGGCGGGGCCGCGTCAGCGTTAGGGCGGGGCCGCGTCCTGGCGGGTCCGCGTCGGCGTCAGGGCGGGACCGCGACAGTGGGAGGGCAGGGCCACGTCGACGGCAGGGCGGGGCCGCGTCGACGGCAGGGCGGGGCCGCGTCAGCGGCAGGGAGGGGCCACGACAGTGGCCTGGCGGGCCTGCAGGGGCGGCTCGCTGGCCTGACGGACCTGCAGGGGCGGCTCGCGGGCCTGACGGGCCTGCAGGGGCGGGGCACGGGCTTGACGGGCCTACAGGAGCGGCTCGCGGGCCTGACGCGCCTGCAGGGGCGGTGCGCTGGCCTTTTGAGCCTGCAGGGGCGGCGCACGGTCCTTACGGGCCTGCAGGGGCGGCGCGCTGGCCTAGGGCAGCAGGAGGCAGCGCGAGGGCTGCAGGACAGCGCGCGTAGCACAGCACGTCACAAGGCAAGGCAGGCCGGCAGGCATAGGACAACACGTGGGGCAGCGCGGTAACCGCAACGGTAGGTGGGCCCGAAAAAAAAGGACGGTCCTACGGACCTAGTGCTCTGAAACCATGTTAGAATCTAGCTGCATGAATGATTCAACTATGAAAGGGTTGGGTACAAGTATGAAACCCTAAGAGGGGCTGTATCCCATATTGGCTATCCCACTATAGCCTACACATAGATAACATGCATATACTTTGACAGCAGCAACTAAAACACTGTATACTAACACTTATTAGAAGAAATCAAATTACTGCCAACACTCTTGGGTAGCCTCTGTGCGATTACTGCTCTCCTTGGAGTGTACACATTTTTATGCGATTACTGTTGTGTTGCCATACCCATGCAGTGCTGCCTATACCCATGTTGTGCTGCCATACCCATGTTGTGCTGCCATACCCGTTTTGGCATGAGGTGCAAGGCATGAGGTGCAAGGCTTGAGGTGCAAGGAGGTACAAGGTAGTTATGTTGCAAGCAGCCCATAGTAAATTCGTGTTGGCCCTGCTGGTGCAGCCCAGGGAGCATCTGGAGGCAGCACAGGCACGTCGTGCCAGATGCAGAGGAGATTGCATTGGGGTACGTGGCATCGTATGCGCAGCTGCACCATGCGGGAAAGACAGAGGGGGATCAGGCGAAGGAGGAGACGAGCGACGCCAGGCAGTACCTGACAGTGGGGTTGGGGGCATTGACGTCGAGGAATCCGGGGTGGTTCGGAGTGGTGATACAGCAGGGGGTGGGTTATGTGAACAGGGAGGCTCTGGCGCAGTTCTCTGCTGGTTATGGGGTTACACTTTCGTGAGAACCGTGAGAAAAGGGCAGGTGCAGGTGCAGCAGCTAGGGATTTCTGGGTGTGTGGAGTAAGAAGTGTGGGAAGAGTGAGAAGAGTGAGGTGGATCCTAAGAATGCGGAGTGCAGGTGCTTCAAAGGACAGGGAAAACTGGTGAGAGGGCTGAACGGGTTGCTCATGGGCATTGTGTTGTGTTGTGGGTGGCATCGTGTTGTTTGAACGTACCCCTTTCCATTCTTGTTGTAAAAGGTGCTGTGCTTTTCTGTTTGTATCGTCAGATGAACAATATTATGATGGAAATTAACAATGATGAAAAGGAACAAAAGAATATAAGGTTCTAACAATACGAGCACGAACTCAAAGACAAGGCATACCGTATACTCCCGGACAAAACACCCCCCCATAATTGTACACCCCCGGGTAGCTTGTGCGGGGTGGGTGTTATGATAGACCTCGTTTCTACTATACCCCCCTTTTTGGCTGATTTTCTATAACACCCCCCTTTTCTTACGGATTCATTATTATAGTCGTTAATGAGTAGCTGCAATACGGAAGAATATCGTGTGAATTTCTCCCTCGATGAAATTTCGCGGTACATTCAAAGGCAATCTGCCGAGATTTGCCCCCTCCCACTATTTCTCTGTCGCCACGTGCAGGTGAATCTTCCATTGCAAGTGGCAAGAGAGGTGCCACATGCCATTTTCGTGGGGGCGATGAAGTTCGAGGCCGAAACTCACATTCGCGCCTCAGGCAGTGATGCTAAAACGACCAGCAAAACACCCACATTGACTAATTAAAAAAACACTAACACTAAAATATGCCATATGTAAAGACCCGGGTATTATGTATTTTTTTCCTAATGAGGAGACCCCCCCCATTTTTTCCCTGTATTTTTAGCTATACCCTAGGGTGTTATGTCCGGGAGAATACGGTACCATAACCTGTGGTCCCAATGCATATCAATCTAAGCAACGCACATTCACCCCATGCACCTCAGCAACCCATGCTCACCAGCAACCCACACCCTCCAGCAGCACCCCATGCCCTCCAGCAGTACCCCATGCCCTCCAGCAGTACCCCATGCCCTCCAGCAGTACCCCATGCCCTCCAGCAGTACCCCATGCCCTCCAGCAGTACCCCATGCCCTCCAGCAGTACCCCATGCCCTCCAGCATTACCCCATGCCCTCCAGCAGTACCCCATGCCCTCCAGCAGTACCCCATGCCCTCCAGCAGTACCCCATGCCCTCCAGCAGTACCCCATGCCCTCCAGCAGTACCCCATGCCCTCCAGCAGTACCCCATGCCCTCCAGCAGTACCCCATGCCCTCCAGCAGTACCCCATGCACGCATATTCCAACAGCCAGGTAAGCAGCAACGCAAGCAGAGGCGGCAGGCCCACAGGTGGCACCCCAAAGGGAGCTCTTCAAACCAAACGAACGACCGCAGGGTAGTAGCTGCAAATGAACGTGTACCCAGTTCCGATGGCGAGCGTGCACGTGTGCGGCGACTTGAACCAGCAGGCGCTGTTACAAGCAGCTGTTACAGGCATCTTCTCCTCAAGGCAAGGGACTTGCACCAGGATAGTAGCTGCAGATGAACGTGTACCCAGTTCCGATGAGGTACGAGCAAGTCTTTGGTGTGGTCTTAGAGCAGGTGCTGTTCCACGTGCTGCACGTCCAATACCCCCCACATGGGAAAAATCCGCAGCACATGCAATTGCCCATGCATTCGTTGTAGTTTGCAGTCCTGGTTGTGGTGGTACCGCCTAAAGTATCAGCAGTTAGGCCGCACTGCTTCACGCAGAGCGTTTTCCGGTAATTGCAGCAGGGAGCAGTACCGTTGTAGCCATCTCCTAGGGTGCAATCTGCCCCTCCCATCCAGGTTGGATACGGGCAGATGGCTTGCGTGCAGCCGAACCCGGAAGCGGGGGCCAGTCCCATGCGGCCAGGGCATGCAGCCCCACACTTGTCACACGGGCCATTCTGGAAAATTGAAAGGCCGTAGTTCACGGCTGCGTGGCAGTACGACGGGTACGAGACGAAATCCGATCCGCACACGGTGAGAGACGTCGCACAGCCGCCGTCAATCATACCGACGCCGCCAATACAGGGGATGATGAGGTTCGTGCCGACGGGGAGCGGTGCAGAGGGGTCGGCAATGAAGTTTTGGGCGGCAATGGCGGCGGGGGAAACGGAGAGTGTTGTGCAGCGGGTGAGGTACTGGGTGGAGATGGTGGAGAGGGTATCGTTGGCACGGACGGTGTATATAGAGTAGTTTGCGTTTGGGTTTCGCTGCATTGTGGTTAGGAGGGGTGAGTCAATGCAGACCTGCTGGCCCACCACCAGATAGGGCGCCTGGCACTGCGGGGAGGAGAAATGGCAAGGGAGAAAGAGGTAAGGAGGCTGGCGGTGCAAATGGAAGAGAGGGAATCGCAAGGCAGAGAGAGGTGCAGAGGGCTGGAGAGGTAGAGTAGAGAGTGGTGCAAGCAAGGACCCAGGCGGTACCCGGGCAGGCAGGGGGGAGAGGGCTGGGAAGGGTGGGAGAGTGGACAGAGAGGTGTGGGGTCGTTGAAGGGTGCCATGGGTCGGTATGTGAAGCTTCAATTAATTTACCTGAACGCCCGGGTTGATTGAGAGGAACATGGACATGGTGAGGTTGGCTCCATTCCAGATGGAGGGGCATGTGTCGCCCTGCATCACCCGGTACCACCCCGTGCAGTTGATGGTGGTCTGGGCACAAGCACACAGGAGATTGGGGATGGGAGAGAGGAGGGGGAGAGACTTAAATGCATGGAAAGATGGAGACACGACGTTGGGGGATTTAAATGGGAGGAGAATCGCTATCAACTTGCCAAGTGGGAGGATGTTCTTTAGGATTACCGTAGGTGATGTTGGCGCCACACAGACATATGAGCCAACTGAAAGATTGCTGTTACAGTCGACACCGGGATTAAGTCTGCACAGGAGCAAGAGGTTGCAGCAAAAGAGTAACCGTGGACATGCAGACGCGAGAATTTGGTGACCCGTCCAGGGAGTAATGGTTACAGAACAGTGGTGTATATGCTAGGAAGAGAATATGAAGTCGGAGCGAAGGGGGGGCGGGCTGGCTTACAAAACCAGTGGCATGAGTTTGAAATACTCACGAGGCAAATGTTGCGCTGTCAATTGAATATTTAACAGCAACCGAAGCACAAGTGTCTCCGATGACCACAGCAACGCTGTGCCCACACTGTGGAGCCGACGATGTTGTCGATGCGGTAACCATCTGAAGGCATACTTGCTGTGATTTGAACAAGTGCTTGCACGACAAGCCAGGGTTGCTTTCCATAAAGGAACTGAGAGACCCGTTGAAGAAAGTGTTTGCTACAGAAGTGCAAGTGTCAGAAGGTCGGACAGTGTATGTGTTGGTGCAATATGAGGATAAGGAAGTCACTGCTGCCGATACAGTAAGAGCTATTCCGGGAGGGAGGTATTCTGTATCGGAGCAGTTAATGAAAGCATTCAGGTTTGTCAGCGTGGTCGTCGAAATTCCGAAAGCTGCCGCGACAAACGTGCAGTTGTCGCCAGGGTTGGTAACATAAGACTTCGCGAGGCCGGCAGCAGGAACGCACGTCGGCGAACCGTCGACAGCAACGCCGACGGCGTAACCCGCAGAGCACGCGCACGTGTACGTCCCGTCGCCCACATCCGAGCATGTTCCGCCGCCGCAGGGATTCACAGAAGCCGTCGTGCAGGGACTTCGCGGCACGCACTTGGAAGTAGGCAATCCCAACACCTCGACCATATTCGACATCGCGCCGCAGTTGCACCGCGGAACTCCGCCGCTGATGTAACAACTGCCCCCGCCGCACGGGTTGATCATCCCCGCGCACGTTGCACCCAGCGCGGTGGCAATAATATTGTTGATAAAGGTGCCGTTGGTGATGGTTGAAAGGGAGAGAGTGGTAGAGAAGAGCGATGACGAGAGGTCGTCCACCTTGGTGATTTTCCACTTGCCGCGCTTGTCGGACGCAAAGCGTGCCGGCTGCTGTCCGGATGGGAAGTAGACGGGGTACATGGCGGGGGTTCTGCGCGGAAAAAGGGGATGACGAGAAAAGGAGCAAATTTAGTGTACTAGTGGCACAAATGAACTTCGCACCCTGCCTCGCCCTGGGGGGGACTGCAGGGTCTGGGAGCGTCCTAGGCGCGACGGAACGCAATGCCTCCTAGGCTTGACGGACGCAGATGACAGTATGTCGGCGGGGAGACTAGGAGGACCGTCCTGGAACTGGAGGCAGACTCAACTGTCCAGGAAGACGGGGACACGGGAAGCGAGTTCGGAAACGTACGATAGGATGCCGCATTTCCCGCGCACGTCGGGCGTCATGGCAAGGTACATGAAGCCTTTGTCGCCCCACGTGGGATACCACGAGTTTTTTATGATCCAGTAGCTGCCTTTGAGGTCCGGCCCCGTGTAGTTAAAGCCCACCACCACCACCGCGTGGTTCACCTCCGTCGAGCACACGCCGTTGTAGATGTTGACCGTGTCGCGGCTTGCGTACGCCTGCACGTGGAGACAGGGGCCAACAGGCAGGGGAAACGCGGGGAGTCGCGAAACGATGTGAGCTGGGAAACGCGGGGAGTCTGAAAACTTTGCGAGCGGGCGCCAAACCCAAAGGTGTGAGCGGGGACACGTGGGAAATCGGGAAGCGATTTAAGGTTGGCAGCGAATCGTCAACGAGCGAAAAATCAGGAACGGTGAAAGGGAGACGCGGGAAATTAAGAAACAGTGTGGACTTGGGGAATATGGAAACGGGAGATTGGGAAAGCGCTGAGAGTCGGTAAACCGTGTGAGCGGGAAAGCGCGAGAAATCGTGAAACCGTGTGAGCGGGGAAGCGCGAGAAATCGTGAAACCGTGTGAGCGGGGAAGCGCGAGAAATCGTGAAACCGTGTGAGCGGGGAAGCTCGAGAAATCGTGAAACCGTGTGAGCGGGGAAGCGCGAAAAATCGTGAAACCATGTGAGCGGGGAAGCGGCGAGAAATCGTGAAACCGTGTGAGCGGGGAAGCGCGAGAAATCGTGAAACCGTGTGAGCGGGGAAGCGCGAGAAATCGTGAAACCGTGTGAGCGGGGAAGCGCGAGAAATCGTGAAACCGTGTGAGCGGGGAAGCGCGAGAAATCGTGAAACCGTGTGAGCGGGGAAGCGCGAGAAATCGTGAAACCGTGTGAGCGGGGAAGCGCGAGAAATCGTGAAACCGTGTGAGCGGGGAAGCGCGAGAAATCGTGAAACCGTGTGAGCGGGGAAGCGCGGGAAGTGGGAGCGGGAGCGGGACGAGGGCGCAGGGAGGCGTACGGTGAAGTCGGCGGCGGAGGCGCTGATGAAGGCGACGACGGGCTGCATGCTGACGGCCTTCATGAGCGCCATGGCGTTGAATGCCGGCACCAGCTCCCACCCCGTGATCTGAGCCGCGGTCGTCATGGTTGTGTCGAGCAGACATGTGGCGGAATCCACGGCGGAGTAGGGGTAGCTGACGTTGTACGTGATGCCGCCGTTGAAGAGGACGTCATCGCAACTATGCTGGTGTGTGCTGGGAAACAGCCCGTGGTTGGATCGGCGATATCGTGTTCCAGCAGTTTGCATGTGGTGTTTTTTTCTGATTGCCCACTGTTTCCGAGCTGCCACTGATGTTCCGCAGTTACCCGATTTCCGAAACGTGTTGCCACCGATCAGTTTCCGGGCAATCTGCCCAAATCCCTGGCGGTTTGAGTGACGGAATCAACGCGGTTAATTACGGTGTGGAGGGGTTCATTATTCTTGCTTGATGGTCGAACTTCACTGTACTCTATATTATTTTTACATCATTCTAAAATTCTCCAGCAGTTGTAAGTGTTGTAAGTTCTGCTTCCGGTTCATCTATTTAGACAATCACTAGAATAGAATGAAAGGTTGCAAACAAAATATTGACGTGTTACTCGACTAATTAATTGAAGCAGTCTGTACCTGTGCTAATTCGTGATTTACAATTTGGATTTCTTGTCTAAATATCCTCATCGAGTTATTCGTATTTGCTACAATATAAAATCACACTAACAAAGAGTACACGAGTGGGTTACCAAGACAAGAACCGTTAGCGACTAGTACTAACGGTAACCAGCTAGGGAAGCCGTTCGGACGGCTCAAATTTTATGCGCGACAGATCGTCCGGGAACTTAGTTCGCCGGAGTCGCAGCCCTCACGTGCGAAAATCGCACGTAAGGTTTGGCTTTGTCGAGCAGAGGGGTGAAGGTTTGCAGGGGGGTACTAGGCGGTTTCGGGTGGTGACGCAACTTTGTAAGAGGTACAGGTTCCCGTATAACGGCCCACTCCAACTCCATTATATCCCCCCCTCACAACTTTAATGTTGTGCTCAGAGTTAAGTCTCCTTCCCCGCCATGGCGTCGCCCTTCAAACCCGCCGTCCCGCTGGAGCCGCCCCGTTCTACTCAATCCCGCCCAGTTTTTTTTTATTTAACGAAGCCAGTCGGCCCATGCTACGCGCGGCTTGCACGAACGTAGGGTGTGCGTTCCGGTTGTTAAGGCAGATCACGGCCCGCGAAAATAGACCAGTCCTTCATAAAACGCTTGATATTAGGGACCGTGGAAACATACCTGCGACTTCGTCGATGCCCCGTCGGAAGCGCCTCGTGCCGACGCGTGCTATAGGGCGCGAAAGTGATGCGGCCTGAGGGTCCAGTAGGGTCAGTACTGTTTTTTTTTTGTTAATGTTGGCCATTTTTAGTTTAGAGTCTTTGATTGGCCCCCTCTTGCGACTGAGCGCCAGAGCCGTTTGACAACTGTGGTCGATGCATGCAGGTCCAGGGGAAGATCTTCAAGACCTTCCAAGTATTTTAGGCATGGCTTGTTAATTGCTTGCATGCAGGCTACATCTCTAGATTTCTTCACCACTCTTGCACCAGAGGATGCAGTAGATCCTTGTATACACTACCATCATAATGGACTTTATATGTGGCTGTGGATTCATCTGCACTACTGGCCAGGGTTTGATAAATCACAAGCAAGTGTGTAGACATAGTCCTCATGCTTCGGATAGTGCCAATGCAAGGATACTAGAAGGGCTAAAGCGTAAACGTGAGAATGATGTGAACCGGCTGCTGCGTGCACGGATTGCGCCACGTGGAGCAGCAGGTCCGCCTTTGACCACCACTAGTGGAGCACCTTCTGCGCAAACCGGCGTTAACACCCCCCCGTTTGAGTTTCCGACGTCGCCCGATAGCGATGGCGACGACGACAACATCGAGTTCTCATCAATGGATGCTACTGCAGACTCTACTCCACAGAAACTTCCATTCGACACTGACCTGGCTTTGGCAAAAGCGATCCGTGGGTTCAATGGAGGCATGGGGATGTCGGCAACGGACATTAACACGTTACTAGGCGTGTTGCATGAGGCCGGCTACTTGAAGCCATCATACAAGAACAGCGCAGGCTTGGCGAGGTATGAGAAGGCCTTACTGGCGGAAGCTACGGGCACGGTGGAATGGAGAGCGGCGGAGGTGGTGTTGAGCAACGGCATGAAAGTCACAGTGCACGTAAGCTCCATGGTGGAGGCTTTGAAGGCGATGTATTCGGATAGCGCGAACAAAGACGGCTTTGTGGTGAAACCGGCAGCGGTTTACACGTCCGACAAGAAACAACGGATATACGCGGGGCCCGAGACAGGAGATGGATGGATTAAGATGCAAGAGGAATGCCCGAGGGGTGGCGTGATCGCAGCGTGCATTCTGTACAGCGACGGGACGAACCTGAGCAACGATGGGCGTGTTACGGGACATCCGGTATATTTCACCCTCGGAAACGTCACGCTTAAGAATCGTTGGCAGCCACACGGGCATCGGATGGTTGCTATGCTTCCGCCGCTTCCGAACGTGGACTCGCGGACGGACGAGGGAAAGGCGCTTCATCGGGAGGTTTTCCAACTGGCGTTGGATGTGGTGCTCAAAGAACTCAAGGAGGCATCTTATGCGTGAGTCTTTCTTGAGTGTGCGGGTGAATCCTGATCATTCTAAGAGGGTGTGGGTGTAAGGGGTTGCAAGTGTGTTTTATCGCTACGATGAGATGTTGCATGCTCACCTCGTTTGCACATCCACACCCCCTCCCCTTACAATCGTATCTCTCCCTTGTTCTTCGGGTTTTTTACGTAA